GACCTCAGAGTTGCTAGGTTCAAGCCCTGTGTTGGGCTCAGTGTGATGCCTGCTTTAAAAAAAAAAAAAAAAAAAAAAAAAAAAAAAAAAAGTTCTACACCAGTGTTACAGTTCCTGGCGTGATCATGGTATAAGTTCTTAGGAGATGTGAGCTGAAGTATATAGAAGGGAAGTTTCTGCAACTTCTTTCAAATGGTTTAACTATGAGAACAAATGGAATAAGTAAATGTATTTGTTACGAGAGAGAGTGTGAGAGCAAGTAAGTATGGCAAAGTACTGGCTACTGATCAATCTAGGGGAAAGATGTGTGGGTGGAGTTAATTTTACTACCTATTCAACTTTCCTGCGAGTTTAATTTTTTTTAATAAAGACATTTGGATATAGAGAATGAATAAGTACAAGTGAATACCCTTTCCTAACTCAATACTATTTATGACTCCTTGTCTATCACCTATAGTTAGTGGATAAGTGGTTTGTGGACCAAAACCCATCTAAAGTTGGACTCTTGGAAATAGCCTTCCTTACATGCTATACACTTTGGCTCTGGACTCTGCTTTATATGTGTGGGGTTTTGTTGTTGTTGTTTTGTTTGTTTTTATTCATTGGAGAGAGAGACAGAGGTTCCCCAGGAGCCTTGATCCCAGGACCCCGGGATCATGACTTGAGCCAAAGATGCTTTGCCACTTAGTCACCCAGGTACTCCTGGAGTCTGCTTTAAAGTCTGTTCTTACATATTTGCAGTTCTTACATATTTGCAGCCATCACCCTATAATTCTGCTAGTGGTGCTAAGAAGTATGATTTTCCAAGTTATAATAAGCACCAATTGTGGTTTGGTGAGCTTTTGTCACATACATTTTTATTGAATGAATGGAAATAAACATAGAAAATAGTATCTTATAGATGGCTTACTCATGGGGGTTTTATAGCTCTTAGTGAAAGGACACAGTCACTGACACCATTGATATCCAGCCTCTCTTCCCACCAGCACACACCAGCTACCGCCCCATTGACCACCTCTGCTTGGGCGTGACCTAGCAGCACCTTGCCTCCACTGCAGTACTTGTTTCTCACTTTCTGTCCTGAAGATTTTCTGCCACCATCCTATGTCTTGAGATGAGTACAGTGCAGTTTATAACCCACAGGCCTTAGGTGGGGAGACCCAAGGCATGCTTCACGGGGATCCTCAGAACCCCCCACCCCACCCCCATCCCAGGAGTGGGGAGTTCTAGTCGCGCACCACACTGGCCAGCTCAGGAACACATCTTTGATTTGGCCTTCCCTCCTCCTCTGCTTAAATCTTCCAGCCTTCAGTCCTGTTTTCTGAGAGTCATTCCCCAAATAATTGACCCTCACCCCAGATTTTGTCTCAGGCCTCATTTTCTGGCAGAACCTGGGCTAAGACATGGGAATCTTTCTAGTTGTGATGGAAAAGCATGAGGATTGTTAGTATTACAGTGACCGCTTTACAGGAGGTCATGTGGAATCTAGAAAAAGCATTTTAAGCAAAGTGCCAGGGGAATCTCTCAGTGTTACTGTTCCATGCATAGGTGATGGTAAGGCTGCAGTGATAGGAAGTTAGGAAGATATGTTGCTCAGTGAGTACCATTCTGTGAGTTGGTTATAAGTCGAGTATAAACCATTGAGCGTAGCCAGATGGTGCTTGCATCTCTAGGTTCTCCCTACAGGAGAGGACCAAGAGGAGCCCTGGGGTTAGATGTGTCAGGACTTCTATGATCTGAACTGAGGCATAAAATAGAGATGCAGCAGTGAGGAAGAGACCTGTTCTCATCTGTAATGGGGGTTGAAATATGGCAGCAGAGGTTAGTCAGGGCAGCAAGGTGCTGGGGGTCCTGGTGCATAATCCTCCAGCATTGGGCTGGAACTTGTTGCATGTGTCAACCTAACATGAGAAACTAAAGATGGGGAGTAGTCCCAACTTGGAGGGAAGAGAGGAGGAGGCCAGATAACAACCGAAGCCTTACATGTAGGCTGGTTAAGCACTGTAATTACTTGTTTTATTGTATAGTTCAGGATAATTCTGTGACTTTTGAGTCTCTGTGGTTAGATATCCCAGTACCTAGAGCATGGGCAGTTGATGTACTTTCTACTCCAGTATAGATGTTGAAGACCTGATTAAATTCTATCTCTTTACTGATACCCCAAGGGGACACTTAATGAATGATGCTCCCTTTAAGAAGAAGAATAATTAACAATAGCTATATTATTCATATCAATTTATAGTTACTGGTTACTATAATTAATGCTATTTAAGAAAATGATCATAATTATGGCACTTTACAATTTACACAGTATTTTCCCATCCATTTCCTTATCTGAATCTCATAACATCCCTCTGGCTTAGGTAGGGCAGGTGAGGGGGAGGACACTATGGCCCAGAGAGGAATTTTTTTTTAAGATTTTTTTATTTATTAATTGAGACACACAGACACACACAGAGAGAGAGAGAGGCAGAGACACAGGCAGAGGGAGAAGCGGGCTCCATGCTGGGAGCCCAACGTGGGACTCCATCCAGGGTCCCCAGGATCACACCCGTGGCTGCAGGCGACGCTAAAACCACTGTGCCACCGGGGCTGCCCCCCAGAGAGGAATTTAACCAATCCCCCACTCTTACCAATATATTATGCTGTCTGCAACAATATGGAAATACATGTAGGAGAATTATATTCATGTAGTTCTCAGATGCCTTCCCAAACACCAATGTCCCATCTTTCCATGTTGTACCGGGATCCATCCCCCAGAATGTTCACATGAATGTTAAATGTTAAAAGGATTTTATTCTTTATAATGCCACCATATTTTATAGTTATTACTGCTCCAGGGAATAAAGATGAGATCACCTCTGGTAGAGGGATTAGCACTCTGAAAACATATCTTCCTAGGATAGAGACTACGGGCTGTGTAGAACTCAACCACATTGGAAATTCAGACTCAGAAAATACAACCCACCGGCTATTATATCGCTTTCTGTTTTTGGCTATGGCAAGAGAGCAGAGGAGAATCTCTTAGTTTTCTCAAGGGCAACCTACAAATCTGGGCCATACAGCATGGACTTTATAGGCACATGCAGGTGTGCACAGACATGCACCCTGGGACTGTGAGTCCCTTTCTAGAATCTATTCTATCTTCTATATACTGGAACATCCAGTGCTCCTGTTGTATCTCTAGATGTGTTCACCCGAACGATGAGGATATGAAAAAGGTTGCTGGCTGGACCTATGGGCGAGTCTGTCTTACTCCTTCATTTACTTAAAGAATTTATTGAACACTTCCATGGATCAGGGACCGAGCAAGATTTTGGGTAAATAGCAAGGAGCAAAATAGACAAAGTCCTGTCCTCATGAAGCGCTTGTTTTCCTGGGTAGACAGACAATAGACAGTCAAATGCATATAAAAGGTAAGGTTAGACAATGATAGAGATGAGAAAATACACAAAACGGTGTGAAGGGTCAGAGTCCCATACAAGGGTCATGGAAATACATTCAGAATCAGAAAATGACAAGGAGGCTGCTTTAGATAGGATGGGATCAATGATACTCATATTCAAACAGGGCTCACAAGTAAGCATGCTACTGCCTCTGGGGCAGACAATGGTCTGGGTCTGGCTCTACGGGGCTGGGCCATGACTTCATAGATGCTGATGTTATCATTGTGCCTGGGACAGGTCAGGTCCAGACGGATGAACTCAACATAGACTAAATTCACAAGAGACTGAGAGACACACCAGATCCTATTAGATCTGTTTTCTGCAGAGACTTAAATTTAAGTTCCAGGACTCAGGAATGGTGGGTTGGTGAGCAAGCTACTAGAGGAAAAAGAACTAGTGATTAATAGGCAATACTGTTATGCTATCCTTACCCGATGCATCATACTCACTAACAAGATACATTTACTTCGAGAATTGTAAGATTTTATGCTAGCTTGTCAAGGGACCCTGTTTTTGTTGTTGCTGAGGATATTCTGGTTTCTTGGCTAATGCTTTTTCTAAACACCTTCACACACTATCCTGATATTTAATGGCCTTAGACAGTTCAACAGAGTTGATTAGATTATATTAGTTTCCCTTTCATTTTGATTGGGTCTCGCTATAGATAGATACACTTTGATTTCTTGTTGGAATCATAAGAGACACTCTCAATACAGTCCACGATCAGTATTACTTTGTCACCTTAAAAGATTATTTTAACTCACCCTCCTTCCAAATCTTAAGACCATCTCACTTTTTGTGTTCTTGCCTTAAGCTCTAGGCAGACTGCTTGTTTTCCCCAAGCCTGCTCACGATTCCTGGGAATGCCCTTGTGACAGTGTCTTGCCCTTTACTCACCCTCTCTGCTTCCGATTGTAGGTGGAAGTTGGTGCTTGTGATAACATGGGGTATTGGCATATGCATGTGAAATCTGGAGATCTCTAGCTTCATAATCAGTGACCACAGCCACAGGCTTTCTCTGCAGCTCCTTGGCCAGAACTCTGAGCAGATGCATTCTAGTGCGCTTTGAAGTGTATTGCTTGGGATGCAGTGCGTCTCTCTCACAGACGCATCTAATACCCACACTTAACCGGCTGCTTCCTCTTCCTAGACCATCAACCTCCTGCCCATGCCCCTTCCAGCTCCAACTCAAATGCTGTCATTCTGTGTGATGGTTTCTGCACTCAAAGCCCTTGTAATATCTCCCCAGTTGGATCTGCTCCTTAAGCACAGGGGTGGAAACATTTATTTCCTTTTACTTTGTATACTCTTAAAAAAAAAAAACAGCCTCTAATATGTGTGATTTTAGGCAAATCACTTCATATCTTTCAGTTTTCTTATTTGTCAAAACAGGATTATTCTACTCCAGATTTTTTAAAAGCTAAAATAAATGAAGTGCAGAAAAGCTTGGACAAAGCCACACTGTCACTTGAGAAATTTGCACGCAGACTGGTATCACTAGAAACTGGAGATTTTTTTTTTCTTTTTGGAATAACATGTCTCCATTGCTTCTAGCAGGGAAACCCTGGAGGCAAGACCCTCGAAGAGAGACGCTCTAGCCTGGATGCTGAGATAGACTCACTGACCAGCATCTTAGCAGACCTTGAGTGCAGCTCCCCCTACAAGCCTCGGCCCCCACAGGTAAGAGCCTCCTGTAAATGTCCCCACACTGCTAGGCACAGGGCCTCCACGGTGACCTGAGACAACAGGCTAAGTCTGGTTACCCTTCTGTTCTTTTTGATTTCTCAGACTCAATGTTATATGTTCTTCTTCTTCTTTTTTTTAATATCAATGTATGTTAGTTGCCAGAAACTTGTTCAATTGAATTTTCTAGTGTTTTTTTTTTTCAAAGAACCCAAGAATGTTATATAAAAATGTTTTGAAAATCAAACCTTTTCTTATTTTATTGACCTGTACTTTTCCTGGCTTTCCCTGTGAGGGTTATTTTGTTATTTGCTGGTATAGTCTTCACAAATACAATTGAGCATGGCTATGTTCAAGTTAAGGTGAGGAGGCTACATCTTCTGTAAAGAAATCCTTTAGGTCGGGCATTGAGGTAGCTTCCATTTTTTGGTTGTTTGTGTGAATAATGCTCTGAGGGACATGTTCATGTCCATTTTCTTTGGAGCTCTTTCCTGTCTCAGATGCCTCAGGGTATGGTTTCTACATTGAGGAGCATGACCACTTCTTTTATTTTTCTTTCCAAAGGTTGTGAAAAGCTTATACTGGCATCAACACTTTGGAAATACAGATTTCTCCTCCATCTTGCCAGAGTTAGTGATAGCAATTAGTATCTGCAAATGGAGACCTGCTATTAGCTCTTCTGTGCATTCTTCTGCTTACTTTGGGGCTTGGCTATTTCTCTGCTGCTTACTTTATTGTCTATACTGCAGAAGCTGATCTTTCAACTGCTGTCCATCATTGTGCCTCTATTGCGTCTCAAGAAGGTGATGGCAAATCTCTTTCAGGGCTTCTGAGTCCTCAAAAGACAGCCAGCAGAACTCTACGTGCAGACATGGGATTGGCACTGCCGTCACAGTTGTTTGACTCCTGTGCTGTTTGCTTGACTATGTGGCAGTGCATCCGGTGTGCTGAGGCTTGCTCTGGTTCTTGAGCAGCAGCTCTGCTATTCACGGTGGTCTCCTTCACGAACTAAAAACCAGTCCTGCCTCTCCATTGTCACTCATTTTCACACATATAGTGGCAGTGCTTTCCTCGTTAGACATATTCCCATTACCTTTTCTAGACAGATAATGGGGCCATCAGCCATGTAGGGGCACAAGGCAAAACACTAGAGCTTGGTTGTTCCTCAGTTGTCTTGGCTTTAGCAGGCCTGCCAGTAACAAAAGTGAAAATGCACTTAAGTTCTGTAAACATGCACTGAGCAGCAGATAGGCAGCAGACGCTATGATCTTTTGGGGGAACTGTTGGGAGAACATAAATGAGCAGTTGAAAAGAGAGAAAAAGAGAACCACACTACTATCTTCCAAGAGCCCATGATTTTAGAAGTTAACCTATGGCAGATCTGGTAGGAGCCCGTGAAAGTGGCAGGCCCTGAGAAGCTTTATCAAAGACCGTGCATGTTCAGCTGGAGGGGTGGGTGGCATTGCAGTGTTGGGGACCAGAGGAGAAAACCATCTGAACTGTAAGCCAGGAAGGTCCAGGGTACATTCAGGGAGCTGCAAGCAGCTGGGTGGCCATGGACGAGGTCATTGATGGCTCGGAGTGGGCTCTAGGACCACAAGGTTGCCCACTGAGAATCTGCGGACATGTGTGAATGCCAGATTAACACTCTGGCCTGCCTTTTATAAAGACAATAGTTGAAGGTTCTCAAGAAAGGGAAAATTAAAATTCATTCAAGAAGAAAACAAAAACAGGAACACAGAAACAAGACCAAGTCTGGAAAGATACAGGAAGATGCGCCCAAGTCTGAGAATGATTCTTCAACAAGCCTTGCTTACTACATGGCTCCTGGCCATTATTTGATGTTAAACACTTTTCCAATTGTACCTAACTAATACCTCAAGCCCGTGTCTCATGGCAAGACCACTGAATTTACAGCTGGACTCACCTGTCCTATGCTCAAATACTTCTATACCCCACCACACTGAACCCACCCCCTTTTTGTAATAGGACTTTTCTTTAGTCTTTGTTTTTAAATCCCTTAAATTCTTATACTTTCAATATATAATGGTTCTGCTTAGAGGTTTTTGCTTAATATAGCTTTCATTCTTTAAGGCTGTGTCTGTGCATGCCTCCCATAAATCACTGTATTTTAATGGATTATTCAGCAGCTCCATTTTTGTTTGAGCCATCTTACTGTGCACACAAACTCATAATCACTGATGTCTGGACAACACTTTACTGATTGTAGAGTAGTTCCACATGTGTTCTCACTTGAGTAAGATACAGAGGAGGGTATGCATAGTTTGTGGATGAGGAAAACTTAAGATATGGCAGGTAAGTGATGGGTCTCAGGACCTAGGACTACAGTGTGGGCCCAGGTGGACCTTGACATTTTTATGTTTGGTTTTAAGTTCTAGAACAACATTGAGGATGCCAGGATTTTTGCTGTTGTTATTCTTTTTTTTTATGTCTTTTTTTTTAACCAAAGGCAAAACTATGAAATCAGTCATATGAGTAACAGTATCCTTTAAATATGGCCTTTTCATGAAAAATAAAACTTTTAGAAGGTTAAAAAAGCTTTAATAACAGTAACCCTTAAAAAGAAGTTGAGGATTAGGAGAAAATCTACTTTCAATATGCCTATTCCATTCAGAAGTTAAAGAGTAATCCTTCCTAACTATTTTTTATTATTCTGATTTCGGAAAGCAAGAGTTAATTGGGAGGTATATCTCATTCCTCTGAATTACCTTCACTCTGGTGGAACTGAATTAGATGTGTTAGTATTTATTGGTTAACATAATTATATGCTGTGAGAACAATAATCACACACTTAAAATATTAAAAAAAATGTGCCAAGAGAAGATGATGTCTGCAGGAGACTGTGTTGTGTTGTAATTAAAAGGTATTTGGAAAGTCCTAGAAATGCAGACTGTTAATGCCCAACTTTGATGTTTCCATTTTTGATCCAAAGCAAATTGCAAAATCTGTTGAGTCACCTGAATACTTAAAGTAAGCGAGCAGGTCTATGATTTCTCATTATTTAAGCATGTGTTGTATGCTTACCCAAGCCCAATTCTGAATCACCTTTGTAAGGCTGCTTTGACTCATGGATCTAAGGGAAAATGATGATTTGTGTGGAATATTTGCAGAATTAGAGGTCCAAAGGCACTCTATTCAAATAACTTTTTAAAAAATGAGCCCTTGAAAATATATTTTATGGGGCATTTTCCTCCTTTTCCCAAAGAAATATTTCATGCTCTCAGATTTCCTAACTTTAAATCTGTGTGCTTATTTATCTAGTTTTTAATTTGGGAAATTTGGCTTAATTCCACATATCCATTCACTCACCTAACATTTATTGAGGTGACACTGTGGATTAGGTATTGGAAACATAAAGATCAGTATCAACATGTCCTTGCTCTAGAGTAATTCTTAGTCTTAGAGAAGAGACAAGCACTTAAGCAATGCAAATGGTCACTGAAGCACTTCTGTGTGCTACTTGACATTATCATGTGACTCATCAGGTGTTGAAATTGTTGAAAAATCAAAAATAGGAATTTCAGCATTATACTTTATACCTTCTAGGGACACTTCCCTAGTGGGGCGGACTTCACAGACCAAGTAGCATTGTAGTTTACTTGGCTGCATATGTCATGGGAAGGCTGTGGGATTCAGAGTACCAGGAAAACAAGAATGAGGGATGTCAAGGGATGCTGAAAGTGAATGCCTTGTTTGAAGGATGCATTACGTCCTTTGTGACATTTAGGATATGTGAAATACAAAGGAGAATGGCAGATGAAGAAATCATACATACTTAATTCCTAGGTAGCCCTTTTGATGCCCAAGGACTCATAGTAAAAGGAGGAATGGGCAGTGGTGGTAGTGGCCCGGGATAGTGGCTAGGGGGTAGTGGCCGGGGGCGGGGGGGGGCTTGTCACAATACTGCATCTGACTATCTGACTATAGTGGGATTGGGGATAATGTTTTAAATAAGTTTTATAATATAAAAATACACATTTGTGACACTGCACAGAGTTAATGCAATTAATCCACCTTAGTGTTTGAAACTAAAATTTCTAGTCATTTTAAAATGTGTGTATTAGGAAATGGTTTTAGAAGAACAGATGCAAGATGTAAGATGTAAGAACAGATGTAAGAAGGTCAGAGGTGGTTATGGGGTGAATCGCAGACCCAGTATGCATCACAGAGATTCTGAGCTTAAGTGAGCTTTTGAGGTCAGGTAGCCAAACACTTACTTTATAGAAGGAAAGTTTTTCCCCAGAGAGGGAAAGAATATTGTTCAATGGGGCTCCATTAGGAGCAAGATGAATGATTCTATTTTTCCTGAACCATGGTATAATGGTTCTCTGTGGATGATAACAACAACCAAGGGACAATTTGGTTTTTTAGCATCTCAATTAGTTATTCCACAGTGTCTCTCTTTTGTGATACTTTCCCTAAAAATATGTCTTGGAAACATAACAAAGGAGTAGATAAAAAGCATACTTCAAAGGTAAATAGAAAATTTATGACCATATATAGCATCTGTGAATTAGTAGATATATCTAGACTTCACCCATAGACCTCACCCATTTCATTTCTTGGAAGAAGTGCAGCTATGCAGGGGATCAATTGCAATTCTGTCAATTTCTTAGATGACAAAGGATAAATCATGAACTTTCTTCTTCGCTTTTCTTGGCAGAGTCAGAGCTAGAGTGCTGGTTTTCTCATTCCTAGTATAAAGCTATCTTTTCCGGGCAGCCCCAGTGGCCCAGCGGTTTAGCATCGCGTTTGGTCTGGGGTGTGATTCTGGAGACCTGGGATCGAGTCCCACATCAGGTTGCCTGCATGGAGCCTGCTCCTCCCTCTGCCCGTGTCTCTGCCTCTGTGTTTGTGTGTGTGTGTCTGTCTGTCATGAATAAATAAATAAAAATCTTAAAAAAAAAAAACAAACTATCTTTTTCCCACAAGGAATTTGGTAGTGTTGGAGCTGGTCCCTAGGATCTCCTGGAAGA